CTTCCCAAAGTGACCAGCTGGTCCTGGTTAGGAGATGGGAACAGACCAAGGACTATTTGACTTTGGAACCCACTTGTCTTAGTAGAGAGCCTGACATATTAACAGGTGCTGGCCAAAGTTCTTGAATGCCAAAGTGACCAGCTAGTCCTAGTGTGCCCAGAACTTTCTCAGTCTTCGCAGCGAAATTCCATTGTCTCAGGGAAACCTCTGTCCAGGTCAAACTGGGATGGTTGGTTACTCTGTTCAGAATACCACAGTGATGCTCATTGACTTGCAGAGTTTTGAATTAAGGTCAGTTCACCTCTTGTAAATCTGGGTAGCATCAGGCTCATCAACTTGGGGGCACAGGGTTTGCAAAAGGCAAAAAACAAAAGTTTTCTATAAAAATATTGATATATTTTTGGACTGTCTGAAAAATTCTTTCTTTCTTTTTTTAAATATCTATCAGAATAATCAGCTAGCATGAAAAACTAAAAGGTTGCAAGTAGAAAAGAACAAAATTAAATAAGAAGCATGACAAATCATTTCAATTACAGGATGCACATATTGCTTTTTTGCCTCCAATTATTTGCCAAGTGACTTACTACAGAAATACTGGTCAATACAAAGGGATCAGTGTTCTAGGCTGGACTTTTTGGACAATAATAATAATAACAATAACAACAACAACAACAACAACAACAACAATAATTTGAAAGAAAATGAATGCTCAGGAAAAAAGGATCATCAAAATTTTTTCATACTCCCTTTAAAAAATAAGAATAGAGCTTTATCAAAATAAATATCCTACCATTTAGTAATTCAGTTTTAAATCCATTTTGTACTTTCAGAATTTCTCCAAATGAAATTCTCCAAAGAAGAATGCACATTTTACAGTCCGAAACATATTTAATATACTGTTTTTACAACAGCTGTTGCTTTCACAGAACTTTAACCCTGCTGTGTAAATGCATCACCAGGAAAATACTCAGGTTGTCATGGAGACAACCTTAGCACAGAGCCCTTTGCTCCGTTGAACTGGTGTCAGCTTTCAGCCTCCCTGCATTCCAGTCTGGCATCAACCCCAGGCTACAACTCAAGACTTCATTAGAGGCCCTGATGAAGAACAGCACAGGAATCTGAGGCAATTACTAGAACTGTATGACCACTTTCCATCAACACACCTGATGAGAAAACTGTAAATTAATTCCAGAGGGAATGATGGCATTAATCAAGATTTTCTGGCATCTTCCTTGAAGAACCCCTGATAGACCCGGCTGTCTTTTTCTAGCTAATTTTAGGCCTATCCATTGTTTTACCAGGGAAAGATATCATTACAACTGATATTTGGAAGATTATTTAAAGTATCATGTGATGAGTGCCCCAAGTGTTAGGCCAAATTTTCAGGGTTGCTAAAAGAGTTGTTGAAATTTCTATCACCCTTTGAAGAAAACACAGAACTATAGTTGCATTGAATCCTGCATGCTGATAATTCTTGATAGCATTTTCTAAAATATTTTGAATATTTGACTTTAAACAAAATTGAGCTCAAAGGAGTCACAGAAAAAATATAGAATAAAAAAGCAAAATTGACCGTTGTTTGGTTCATTTTGTAAAGCATTGCAAAAGAGAAAAAAAAAAATGAAGTTCTAGCCATGGCTAATCACTTCAGAGAACAAATTAAAACAAAATTTTTCTAAAGCAGCTAGGTTTTATGATCTTGCAAGAGTGTATGTGCGTACGTGTGCACACACACACACACATACACACACTCACACACACATATTATGTTCTATTATCCCTGAAAAGTTCTTAAATTTCATCACAAGAAAATTTTCAAATGGTTTATATTATAAAACTTTTACATATTTGTGACTTAGCCAAACAAAGCACCTCATTGACTATAAAGGAAACTTACCAAAATTGTTCTCTAACCCAAAATTTAAAGACACAAAATTAATTCAGTGCTTTAATCAAGCCATCATCAAAAAACCTTATGTGCTGGCAATTCTAACAGAGTCAGGGACAGAGAGTGGGCATGTGTAAAACTAAGTTTATGCTGACTCATCCTTAGAAATCTGACTGAATCGGGCTTGTATTTAGGCCACAAACACGTGTGCGTAAATAAACCAGAAATGTATGACAGTTACCATGTTTAATAAATTGATTAAAGGCTGAGGTGGAGTTGACTTTAATTTGCTTTCTTTGCCTTTTCTCCAAAGATCAGTTGGAGTCCATACTCTTATAGGAAATCTTCACTCAGGAGTCCAACCGGAAGTGTTCTCTCCCTTCTGCTCACTTCCTCAAGCCCTTATTTATTTATTCACTCAACAGTAGTTTCTTAAGCACATACTATGTGCTGGTGACTGTGCATGGTATATAGTGGTGAACCAATATGTGTGATATGGCCCTCATGGAGCTATGTTTTTCTGAGCTGTTCATTTGGCACCATAATATTTTCTCATCTTGTGACATGTTTGATTCTATATTTCCATATTTATAAATGCCTCAAGGGCAGGAAGTATGCAACTAAAGTTGTTTTTAACGAAGTTTTTTAAAATGAAATTGTCATCAGAAGGAATTTATGAGGCATTCGGGAAATATGACATCTCATTTTGGATCTATTTTCTTAGTTATTAATAAAATTAATGTCAAAGAAGAGTGTCACTTTAAATGATGGGCTATAGGTGTTATTCCAAACAAGAAGTTTCAAAAATCAGTGGCAGTGTGAAATAATTGTGAAATATTAAGCAATGTGTTGTTTGTCTTCTCTTCAAATAGCTTAAGTTCTGGCTCCCTGTTCATTGCCTCCAGGGAGAGAAGTGACAGGGCTACAGCAGAGAAAAGATGTTTTCCTGGAATTAGCTTTCAAAATCCTTGTCTCTCAGGGGAATACAGAAGGCTTCCACAGAGAGAAAATGTTTGGGGAAAACATGACTGTGAGCAGAACTTCCTGTTTCACCCGGGACTTCTAAGATTTCCTTGCACTAAGGTGAAGGAGGTGATGATAGCAGAGAGGTGGGTAGGGCTGGGAGAGAACAAGCTGGATTTAATGGGGCCTGAGTGGAGAGAACAATGACCATCTCAACAAAAGGCCACCATGAGAGGCTTCGTTTAAGTGTTCAGGCATTGGGTAGAACTCAGAGACCACGTAACTGAATTATTACCTAAGGACCACTTAGCAGGAGTAGCACTCATTTGAGTCTCCAAATTTCCTTTTTCTCTGTCCAACGTACTATTTGGAATAGACTTAGTTTTGCTGCAATAACAAGCAGCCCCAAACCTCATTAGACCTTTATGTTCTTTTATTCATGGTGCCTGTCCGTTGTGCACTGCTGGACATTCTGCCCATCGTCACCTTGGTCCTCTTTATGAGAACCCAGAGGGATACACCAGTTGCTATCTGGGCCCAGGGCAAAGGGAAACAGACAAAGCCCAAAATGACTGGTAAAGCTCCATGCAGATATGCATGTAACTTTTGCTCACATTTCATTGGCCAACACAAATCACGGACTAAGCCCGATTTCAATGGTGTACCCAGGGGAGGGCAATGTGTGTCAATAACCACCCATACAATCTACTACACCCACCCTGTGTAGTATAAGAAGCCCTTTGCATTATAACAAGAGAGATAGCATGGGCCCAGGACACCTGGTAGGTACACCTGTATGGGTGAGTTTGTGTGAGTAGGTAGGATGGTGGTGGGTGCACCTATGTCTGCAGATGAACAGAACCAGCCTGAGATACGGCCAAAGCCAGATCGAGACTTCACTTGCTCCTAGGACCAACATGCAATGGCAGCCTCATTAAGAAAAAAGCAAGTGTGCTTCCTGTAGTGGAAATAAATTTTATTTTTGTTTTCCCATTCACTCAATTGGATTAGTTAAACCAGAAAAATATATAATTAATGTTCTTATCTAAGAAATGACAGAAGCCAAAATTGCCTAAAATAATCAAAGTTGACACAGTGACTGGAATTAATTATTAATCTTCACAATGCCTGGTTCTTTATTAATGAATGTATTTACCAGGAAGAAAAGTTTGAGAAACATCTAAAAATGCTCATATTTTGTCGTAAAGAATTTTCTTCTGCTGTTAGTGTTTCTTTCTTTTTTTTTTTTTTATACTTATCTCACTATGATTGAGAAATATAAACTTGTAACTTTTGGGATAAAGAATCATATCGAAAACTCTCAATGATATTGTTTGGCCACATGTTGTTTTTAGCATTTGTAATTTTAGGAGAGAATCATAAAAGCCAGAAGATGATAATTATCCCCGACTTGGTTAAACTTTGGGGTTTACCAGTTGAATCGAAGAGGTCACCTGCAGTAGCTGACCTAGCCTTACTCATTTCTGTTAGCCAGTCCTGTTGATTATTTCTGCGAAACATCCATCATCCCAATCCTTTTATATTTTTCTTATTGATTTGTAGGAGCTCTTATTATATTAAAAATATCGATCGCATCATTCCTGAGGCAAGTTACAAGAGTAGCATCATGGATTTCTCTTAGATACAGAGATTGTTAAAACAAGTGAAGTATTATGCATAACTTTTAAGATGGTTGTTCTAAGAGGGATGACTGCATCAGACTGTCCTGCTTTGAATCATCTCCAGTCATCTGCCTAAAATGCATTTCTCTCCTGAAACCTCATTCTACAAAGCATTCATGCTTTTCAACCAAGCTGTCTCTCTTTCTTTAGGCAGCCTTTTCCCATCACCTTCTCCACGTTGCATGCTGCCCTCCACTTCTGTAGCACTGCCAGTCTGTAGCCCTCCATTGTGGCATTTGGTCACAGGCCTCCTTGCATGATTCTACAGGTGCCGCATGTATTTATGTCTCTAAGCCAGAGACTGGGTTTCATGCTTCCTACCTGTCCTCCACAAACCCACTATACTGGTAGTCAGAGGTGCGTGTTCCCAAAGAGACAGTAGTCTCCTTGAAGACCAAGTCATGTTTCCTTTCTCTCCTCCATGTTTGCTGCACACAATGCTGGGCCTGCTGCTCGGTACTTGTCAGTGGATTGAGCGGAAGTTGTGAGAAATGGCGAGGGACGGACCAATGCACAGCTTCTTCCACTTGTCACAGAAGGAAAGGCATGAGAACATTCGGCAGCCTGCTCATGTTCTGCACAATGGACTAGCATCGAGAGGATCCCTCATAAAAGTTAAGTATCACAATAATAGCAAAGAGCTGGAGCAATCTTTACCGAGTTTCTGTTACTTGTAACCAAGAATTTTGAGTAATACTGTGATTTTTTTAGTAATTATCTAATAAGGACAAAGTAGAGGTGACACATCATTTAAAAAATCAGGATTGAACATGCCGTACCTATTATTCTGTTAATGTTTTTTCACTCTTAAAATACTATTAAAAGATTCTCACACCACCAAGGATTTTTCTATGATATTTTATTAGTTGTGCCATTATTCAATTTTATAGAATATGATTGTTGAATGTTCGAGTTGTTTCCAATTTTTCAAAATTTTAAACAAGGCTATAATGATCAATCTTATTTATATACCTTTGAGTAACATTCCTGATAATCTGATAGGTATAAATTTTCAAAAGTAGAGTTTGGGATCAAAAGGCATTCTTATTGTCAGATATTGATAAATTGTGTTTTAGAGAGGTATATCAGTTTACAATCCCCTTCCAGCCCTCCATAATGCTTTGAGGCTCATTTTTCCACACTCTAATCAGCACTACTTCCTTATCAGGATCTCTGAAACTAGACTACAGTGTTTCAGTTCTGGATCCTCTACTTGCCAGGAATGTGACCCAGCCATGTGACCTCAGGCACATCACTCAACCTCTCTGGCCCCCAGTTCCCTCAGTTATGAGTGGAGATAAAATACTCACATCACCTCTTCCACTTCAATGTGTCCCATGATTAAGTAATTCTTATCTTAAAATAGTGAGTGAACTTCCTGGTATTTAGATGGATTCGATCATTTAAAAGGACATTGGCAAGTTATTTGGATTAGAGACACAGCTATCTAGGAGTCTAAGGTAGAAAGTCATACAAAGGATGGAGGTTTATGCATCTCAGGGATGGGGATGGGGATGTCGGGGTCACTAACATGTGTGAGCACTTACTATGTGCCTGTTGTGGACATTATTAGTCTTTTGACCACCCATCACCTGAATCCTTTTTCTGACCTCGGAGAATTTCCTACCTTGTGCATTGTAAGGTCAGAGACATCTCCCACTATACAATCAGAAAATGCCAGATAATCATTCTTCCAGCCTCCTTTGCTAGCAGTGTAGCAAGCTCCAGCGTCTAGGGCTTGGTGACAATGACAGCAGTGTCTCTATCCAAACTGCTCTCCTTTGTGGTGCCTAATCTCCTTTGCTGAGACAAGTCTGAGCCTTGTTCTCCAGCCTTCATAGAGAATCTGATTTCTGTTTTGCTTTAGCATTTTATTATAGAAAATTTCAAGTGCCTGCATGTGCACACACATGAGAACAGCAAAAATAAATCATTCACGTATTCATAGCAATAACTAACATTTTGCCAGCCTGTTTCTTCTATACTCCTCTGCCCCAAGCCCCTGTCCCCAAACACAACTTCTTTCCCAGGATTTTTTTTTTTTTTAATTTAAAACTCAGACATTGTGTTTCTTCACCTATAAATACCTTAGTGTATTAGCCTCTGATAAGGTCTCTTTAAGAGTCATAACCTCCATAACTATATCATACCTAACAAAATCCACAATAATTCTTTAATGCCATCTAATATCCAGTCATATTATAATTTCTCCAATTGTTTTCTTGTACAGTGGGTTTGCTTGAATCAGGATCCAAATAAAGCCCACCAGTTGCCTTTGCTTATATGTCTCTTACGTCCGTCTCTTTGATTCGACAGCATCCGCCATTTCTTTTCCATACTTTTCATTCATTGGCAAAAGAGTTCATTTTCCCTGTAGGACCCAGTATTCTTGTAATTAATTCCTTTTCTGTTTCAATCAGCCAGAGTAGACTTCAGTTGATTGCAACTAAGAATTGTGAATGAAACACAAGCTTTGTAGGGGTCCCAGTTTTACAGAGGAGGAAACTGAAGTTCATGGGGGTTAAGTAACTTGCTAAGTTTTCAAAGCTACTAAGTGTCACAGCTGGAGTTGAAAGTCAAAGCTCTGGCTCAACATCTCTATGTAGTCATCATGCTCTTTCCCAGTTCCCTTGCACCTCTAGCATCCTAATACTTCATGCCTCTTTCCTCGACCCCAAGCTTACTTCCACCAGCAGTGCACCCCAGGAAATCAGAACTCCTTGTTTCTCACTGCCAGTGATAATCTCTGTTTAACTCGACAAGTGTTGGCTTTATTCAAATCCATTACATTTCCTGCCAGAATACAGGTGCAGATGTGAGTAAATACAAATGTGTTTTACATATATATCTTTATCTTAAATGCACTAGGCCACTGGTTGTCAAAAGTACAGTCCCCAGCCCAGTAGCACCAGCATCACCTGGGAACCTGTTAGAAGCCCCACCCTAGATCTACTGAATTAAAAACACAAGAGCTGGGGCCAAGCCATCTGTGGTTTTAACAAGCCTTCTAGTAATTCTGACACTTGCTCAAGTCTGAGAACCATTGCACCAGGCACTCCCGCCTACGCATTCCCGTAACATCACGTTAACATAAAAAAGTCCCACATGGTTATTCTTGCCTGCTTACATACACCTCTAATACTGCATGTAGAATGCCTTGTCTTCATTGGCTGGACATTTTTCTATCTACTATTGAGTTCTCCAGTGGACTCTTTGGTATTTAGGGAAAGGTTATTATTTTTTAATGTTATAATTTAACCTCACATTCCTTATGTTAAAATCACAGTATTGAATGAAATCATTTCAGATGCTAAAACCTCATTCTTACCCTGTGAAAGTAATATTTGTTAGAGTCAGAACTAGATAGTTTGCACCCAGGCAAATGGCTCAAGATCACCTTCAAATTACAGAAGCTCCCAGAAGCTGAGGGGGTGTTCTAAAGGGTCAGATTGGGCTCCCGTGGGGGACGGAAGCTCCCTGTCCCTGGCGCGGTCTCGTTCCACTAGTCTCCGCAGGCCAATGGAGGGACTAGAGAGGGTCCAAAAGCTTGAAGAGACAATAAGGGTAGGTAGGGATATATGCTTGCTGAGTAGGAAGAAGGCTTAAAACTTTGTAAAATCTTTAAAATTCATTCATAAAAATGTCCGGGTTCTGTTTTTGTGCTCTGGGCTAAGCCCCATTTGCCCTGTTTTGTTCTATCCTGATTTCCTTACCCTGAGCCATCTGGCTAAAAGTCCTGTCACTGGACTTTTGCCATCTCACTCACAATGGATAAGGACAGGCACTTGGCTCGCCATCCTCTCAGGCCTCCGATGTATGTTCCTGGTGGAGCAGCATCTGATCCTTGCCTTTCCCCTGGTATCGCTGGCCGTCAGCCTCCACGCCTTCTGACACAACTGGATCCTCGTCCCTTGCGGGCTCGTCATCAGTGGTGTGCTTGCTCCCTGCTTAACCTGAATTCTGCATTCGCATTTTAAGCCCTATTGGGAGACAAAGAAGAACTGCAGGACCATTCTTGCAAGCCACCATCTGTTTTTCCTCTCCTGTCCTAGCTTTTTTTTGTCTCCTAATTTTTATTCTTTTCTGGGACTGAGTAATACTTGAAGACATATTTAACACTTTCTTCTCAACCTCTTCATAGAGTCTCCCTCCCCCTCTGCAACCTTCTAGGCCATACTAAATTTCCCACCAGTGAGAAACAGGCTGATCTTACGAAAGTATGTTCAACTATAGCTGTGATGTACGTACGTACGCTTGCACACATGTGTGCACGCGCACACCACACATACACACACACGCACACACACACACACACACACACAGAATGTCTTTAGGTTTGCTTCTCCAGAAAGTTAATGAAATATCCCCATGGCAACTAAAACCACCAACACTGATTTTATATAGTAACAAATTGAAAATTTCTGGAAAGAGTTTGCCCTATAATGTTTGCACTTAATGTTTATAATTTGTGTCAGATCATGTCTTATCCAAGACATCACTCCCCTTCATTAAGTGAAAAGTAAATACATCTCCAGTGTTACAAAAACAAGCTGCTGTTTACCCAGAGCCAGTTATCTGAACCCAAACCCTCTTTCTTGGAGACTGAAGGGGGAGACTGGCCTGAGACCACAGTCTTTTCAAAGTGAATAGGCAGCGATTCATGTGCCATGGTGCCTGGCCTAAGAGAGCAATAAAAAACTCTTTTAACCCCCACCCTCACTGGGTTTCTCCATTTCTTTTAAAACTGTCATGGGCTCTCACCATGATATAAGTATGTGCCTGAAGATCACTTACTTCTCTTGGCATAGGAACATTTCAGGGATTTATGCTCTCCCATCAGCCTCTCCTTCCCCTTGGCTCCTTCTCACCAGGCTCCAGAATGAAAAATGAGAACACTCCAATCTTGTATATTAAGCCATAACTAATTATTATTAGATCAGTTTTCACTTTTTCCCAATGCAACTGTCAAAGGCAAAGGTCTTAATTTACTAGTTCCAGTAGGCCCGAAGCTAGGGTAAAGAGGAGGATGAGAGGTTCCAGGGATGGACTGACTTCAACTGGCTCAAAAGCTCAGTAAAAAAGCTTTACGGCTATGGAAAGGAATGGACTCCAGTCTTCTTGCTGGAATTGCTGCTCAAATGCTGTGAAATGTTGTTGATATTCTCTGAACCAAAGAGAAATGCCTGCAGGGAAGATAGAGTCATTCTGAATTCAGCTATGAGACCACATAAAAGCTGGGCACTGGGGATGTACAGCCGCCAAATTTCACATGTGGAAGAAACCCCTGGTGGTAACCTGTGAGTGCCACAAACTCTTCAAATCATGGGTGAGGAGACCAGATTTGAAAGACACATCGACACACCCCTCCCAGCCCAGACCGCCTCTTTCCTTGGCAATCTGGTGATCGTGTCCACCATTTTGTCATCACGGGGCAGTGAACGGGCCATGGATCAATGGAAAGTGCGAGAATAAAATCCAGAGGCCCCATATCCCACTCCTGTGTTTTGGTGCGAAGAAAAAATTCAAGATGATTCAAATCAAGTATATTAAGTTCTTCCAAGAGGCATGTCAAGTCTCAGGATCTGAGCAGATGCACAGATACCAGGGATTTACA